GCATGGACACTTACACGAGCGAGAACCAAAGCGGACGCAAGCAGAGAGATAGAGAGAAAAGAAGCTAGACACGAGAACGAAAGAGAGAAAAGGAGAGAGAGACGAGAGAGAAAGGCTGCAGAGAGACGCGAGAGACAGAAGCAAACGGAGGAGAAGAGAGAGAGAACAAAGGGCAGAATGATGAGACGATGAGACAAGCCGACGACTTGCAGCGAGCAGAGGCACCGAGATCTCGAGTTCAGAGACGAGAGAGATACGCCCAACGAGCCACGGTAAAGTAAACGCGACACTGCTACGCATGTGAACACCGACGGAGAGAGAGACCGAGAGAGCAGAGACGACCGAAGCAGCAATGAAAGCATTCCACAAGACAACGGAACGAGCACAAACGCGCAGAGAGACGAGAATGAGCGAGGACGAGTCGCATGATCGCAAGAATGAGACGAAGCGGAAGGAGACACCGAGCAAAGAACGAACGAATCAACACCGACGACGACGAATGACGAAACGGAGATGGACGGACGCAGCAGATGAGAACAAAGGAACGCAATGAGAGATATGAGAGAGAGGAGTCTGAGCCGACCGGAGAGAGAGAAGGAGAGAGAGAGAGAGCAGAGAGGAGAGAGAGATAGAGCAGAGAGAGAGAGAGAGAGAGAGAGACGCGGAATGTACGGTCTGGTTGACCGATCGATGTGCGCGCGTCTAGGGGTCGGGAGAGGTAGGGTAGTTGTGATGCCTGGACGTGTTCGCGGGCTGCCTCCCCTTCCCTGGTGCCCTCTCGCCAGTCCGCCGCGGACATCTTAGTGCCAGTGTGTGCGTGGACCCTCTGCCACCCGCCTTGGCATTCAGACATTTTCTATTGACCTCTCTTTCTCCCTGGGGCGCCCATGAGCCTCCTATACCCAAGTGTAGACCCAGCTGTTGGCCGCAACGGAAAGTGGTCGCAGAGGAAAAGGGTGTAGTGTAAGGTGAAGAGGTTACAGAAAAAATAGTTTTAGTGTGAAGGAGTGAAGTGAAGATATTGGAAGAGGGGGAAATTATTATGTTTACACAGGTTTTCCTACTCCCACTGTGTGCTGCCTCAAGGCCCACGCTCTGAAGTAAAAGAAGAAGGAGACAGAGAGAGAAAGGTAGACGAGGGAGAGGGAGAGAAAGAAAGAAGGAAAATCACACGAAAAGACAGGAACACGAATTTAGCCTGAGGCAAAGTTGCGGGTTGGTTGATTTTGCTCGCAATTGGTGGGGTTATTACCGAAGTGACGCGGAAAGTGGTTGCGTAGTGCGTGGTATACCGCGGGGTGCCGGCCAGGTAACGCTAGTAATCTTGAGGTTAACCGCTTGATTTGGTGTCACACTTGCTGGCTTCCAGGCCTAACTGGGGAAACCACCTTTGCGGGCAGAAATCTCCCGCATCTTTCAGCAGATCCACGAACAAGCCGGCGATCTCCGACCACCGCACACGGTAATGTATGAAAATATGAGTGTAGCCATAATTCCAAAACCAGCGAGAGATGATCTCTTATTCAATATTCAGTGGGGGCCCTCGTCCACGAGAGAAGGGCAGTAGGAGATCCATAATATAAGGTCTTGAGTCCAGCCGCGACGCCAACCTACCCACTATCAGATCCTGGATTCATCCAACCCCCCTACAGATTCAGCATCCCATCCGACCGCGCACGCCTGGCCAGGTCGCACATAAACCAAGTCGATGTATCTTTTAGACCAACGAGAGGAGATGACGAGGCTGAAATAACAGTCTTAAACGCCCTGAAAAATAGTACCGGCGCATGGTTACTCTCTGTATCTTCGATGATACAAATCATTCAACGAAAGCCTTTTAGTGTCAAGCTCCCGTCTGCCTTATTTAAACAGACATCCCTGTGAAGTGAATTTTCGTATCAGATTTGATATATACTAACGCGTCCATCCAGACCGTATTCTTGTTACCAGCGTCTAACGTAGGTTATCAATAAGCTGATGTAGGACCACTTCACGCACCCGTCACCTGGCACATTAAGGTACCTATCTTTATGCATATATTATTCTCCAATATTTTCCTTTCTGTTGCATTGTTTATTTCAGTTTTAGCTGTATAATCAATTAAATTTGTATGTAAATGATCTCGGGTTCAGTCCAAGAGTCTCCTTTTTCCTTCTCCCTTTCACTGTCTCTTATGGAGTCCTGTCTACAGCCGTTCAGGGCGGTGCGTCGTTCGGTTCCTCCATACCCAACTGAGAAAATTAAGTTATTTCAAGTTGTATCCGGGACTGTTAGATATAGGCTTAACGGCACCAAGTTCTAGCGTGGCGATCACAAGATCTCTGATTCCATAACGCTAACCATTAATCCACCGACCCATTCTGTATCTCGTCTCTCTCCTATTCATGTATCCTTTCTTCCCAGTTATCATTGCATTCGTTGAATTTATCATTACTTGTTAAGTCATGTCTTGGGCCGTGAGGGTGGTAGCGGGGCCGTTGCTCACGCATCGAGTGCTTCATGGGTTACCGCCGGGATATGAATCCAGGGTTATGCGCATACACTTCTTCCCGTAGTGTTGAATAGTGAGACTTTAGGGTGAAGGAGTAGAGTCCGATTGGCTGGTCCTGCAGCTCCCTCTCTCCGGCTCTCTCTGCAAGCCTAAAGCGTTGTGATGAATATGCTTACAAATGGTCAAACACTACGACCGACTTCTCGGGTTATCACTCATCTTAGTTAATTATTGTTGAGCTCCTTATCAATAAATAACAATAAAGAGATTCTTTGGAATCAAAGTTGCCTTTAAAACTGACGCATCGTTGTTATGGTTTGCCTGCAAGTAACTATCTAGTAGTAGACCTGACGATCTAGTAAGTAACGTAATTTGGTAATGGCTGAGAAAAAAATACAGTTTGCGGCGGGAGTTTCCGTAAGATACTTAGGGGGCACATTTAGATAGTAGACCCACTATACTGAACGAAACAATAAATGTAATATCCTGAGGACTTCTTATACTATTTCCTAGAAAAAGATAAGATAAGATATACACACTAAAAAATTATGGTGTAAATAATATAAGGTCATTGAATAACAGCACAGAGTAAAAATGATTTAGAAGGAGAACCAAAGGACAAAGAGAGAAAGAGAATTGCGTGTGTATTGCGCCAGTTCGTTAAATGACCAGATATATAACCTTGAGTAACACAACCCAATTTGTACGCCACAACAGCGTGGAAGGGTACAAATCACACTTAGCAATGCACCATCAACCGCGGATAGTTTCCACCTGATTTTTCTAGCTTAACACTTTCCTGTTATATACTTAATAAAAAGAAGACACAACACATATGTTTTCTGTTGTAATATTTGCTGCGTCTGTGCATCTTCTGGTATGCGGACAACCAACCACCACACCGACCAAACCACAAGGGGAAACAAGCACGTCGAATGGTGGACTTAACGCCAAGTCACAGGACAGGACGGAGGAGCAAAACAGAACAGAAGATTCAGCAATAAGTGTCGCATAGCTATCCACAACCCACGTTCACCCACAACACACACAGATATTGTGCTACAGCCACACAACGCACACACAACAAGCATCTTGCACACGGTCGTTTTGAGAAACACCCAAGGAACACCAGCACACCAGATACCCTGGGGGTCGCATGAGAACACCCACACATTAAACGAACACTCCGCTAATATAGAGCAATATTGGGCCTCAAATCTGTCGGCGAGTAATCAACCCTCGACAACTAAATATAGAGGAGTCTGGTCCGTCGAGGGCTACACACTAAAAAACTACACACAAGAGACCACAGCACCTCGCTCCAATGATACTGGAAATAGTTAATTCCTAATGACGTAGCTTAACTTTAAACGAGTTCGAGAAAAAAGCTTTAAGCTTTAAAAATAGTAATAAAGCCCACAAACGAAAAGGCACTAACCAAAGACTATGGCTGAGTTCATATGTTAGAGACATTATTTATTCCAGACTATCATATATGAGTAGTAATTAATATGATGCAGTCAACACCGAGAGTGAAGAGCACCAAATCGAGTTCTTCGTTTTGGTTTTCCAGTGTAAGTCATTCGATAAGTTTGTAGAACAAGGTTTGTAATTTAGAGATGTAGGGATAGTGTTTGGCCGCTCTCTGATTAGTCGGCGAGCTTCCCTATTAACGTCTCCAGCACAACCTACCATAACATCACACATTATCAGTATGGCCGTTGTGCTCATTAATGGACTACCTTTGAGATAATCGGCGTAACTAATTGAACACAATAAATGGTCACGATGATGTTCGGATGTCTGAGATTGGTTGCGATTTCGAGGTCCACCACATCTCGCCATTCCCCGCTCGCCCCACTAACTAACCACAACCTACACAGTGCGACAACGCCTGACCTACTTCCACGCCTCATATCAGTAAGCTTGGTATTTAATGCTTTAAATTATTTGATATAAATAAATAGGTAGATGAATTAATAAAATAATCTTCGGTGCTCTTGTTAATTTTTTTTCGAGGAGAATAGAGCGGTTATATGTGATGGTTAGATTGTATAGTAGATTTCACGAATTAACAAATCTATCAAATTAGATACGATTTTTCCACTTGGTGTTTTGGTTGTCTCTGTGTTGCATTCCATGTGTTTCGCTGTCTCGCAGGTGGGAACCTCTTGTGATTTTAAGCCTATCGTTATGCTCTCGAGTCGTTGCTCTCACTAGCTGTATTTTAGTCTTTATACCTTCTTTGGGAGGTGAAATCAGGTGCTATTTGATTGATGGTAAATGTATCTAATCGTTTATAGATTAATTAAGTGTTCACCCTAATTGTAAGTGTCGAGTTGCATTTTTGATATTCTGCTAGATGTCCAAAAAGTGTTGAACAGTGCGTCTGTTTGCGTGTTTGTTGATGATCTTTATTAAGCGTTAGGTAGAACAGGGTCGTCTCGGAGCTAAGTTCAACAGTGTCTCATATCATTTGTAAGCTTCGTGTTAGGTCAATTCACCCGTGATGAACCAGCCGCCAGCGCCTCCTCCTCGCCGGAATGTTGCAAAGCTGTTCCGTCGGCAGAATAGCTTTGCTGGCTTCCCAAGTGCTGCACTTAGCATTTTCAATAACAATGCTAGCAACAATAACAATAACAACAACAATGGGAAGAGTTCAAGTAAGCCTGTGCCGACGCCAGCGTCTACTGCTCCGGAGACATCAACTACAGATTCCTCAACAGCTCAGACATGTACTGCCTCGGGAGCCGCATCTGTGCCCACTTCAGCAGCACCTCCTGTGTCCGGGCCATCGTCCTTGCCCATGTACCAGCCTCCACCGGCTGCCAGTAGGCCACCCACTGGGTTCTATTCTCTCCCGAGACACAACCGGCCTGGCTACCTCACACGGAGTTTAGGCATAGGGTTTCACCTGCTGGCCAGAACACCACAAGGAGGGTCTTCAGGTCCCACAGCGGCAGAGCAACTTGGAATCAATACACCTTCGCTCCCGAAGTCTCATCGGAGAAATCTTAGTGAAGGAAACAATGGGGAAGCCAAGCCCTTGTCAGTAAGTTCTCTCACCCGTAAAGGTTCCTCCAGCAGGGATGCTCAGCAGTCTGGAGGAGAACCGAAGCTCAAGTCATCCTCCTCATCTTCAAAGCGAAGCAGTAGGGATGGGGGTGATGGCAAACCACGGCGTCGAGACCCGGACTACCAGACTCTTCCTCGTCGTTCAGCCAAGGATGCATCTTCAAAACGATCTCCAAAGGAGGGAGACGCAAAGGGACAATCATCAAGGAGGGAGGTCGAGACGAAATTCAGGTCTCTCCCCAGAAGGCATGAAGGTGAGGCGAGGTATCAGGCCATTGGCAGGAGTGACCCCAAGTACCAATCCCTTCCTAAGAGGCACAGCAGTGCAGAGACCAGGTTCACAGCTGTTCCTAAGAAGCGGGATGGTGACCCTACACCTCCACCGAGCTCCTCACCAAAAAGACGTGTTGGAGACTCAACTCACTCATCCTCATCACCAAAGAGACGAGAAAGCCTTCCAAATTACATACCGTCTTCACCAAAGAGAAGAGACACAGGACCAGATCATGGGCATGCACCACTTTCGCCTAAAAGACGCGACACAATGCCCAGTCATATGCCATCATCCCCAAAGAAGGGTGATGCCGCCCCATCTGTCTCGCCCATAAAACACGAGATGTCAGTAGAGCAGCAGACACCTAAGCAGCAGGAGGTAGTGCAAGGGCCGCAGCAAACGATGTCACCCAAGAGACGAGTTTCTGAACCCAAGTACCAGCAAATCACACCGAAGAGGTATGACTTTGATCCTAAATATCAGGTTCTGCCGACCACAGGGATCGATGGTGAGCCTACATACCACATTCATCCTCCAAAACGACCGGATGTGGAGCCGAAATATCCGGAATTGCCGCCCAAACGGTACGACATCGGTCCCAAATACCAAACACTGCCTCACAAAAGATATAATTATGATTCCAAATATCATTCTGTACCACATCCCCTCCCGAGGCATGACATAGAATCAAAATATGAAACTGTCCCTTTAAAAAGACATGACCATTTTGACCAAAGGTACCATCGAGTGTTACCACCAACTGTAGATCTAAGATACCATCCTCTCCCTCCACGTCGGTGTGATCCTGGTCCAAGATACCAGACCATACCACCAGTGAGGCATGACGTGGAGCATAGACATCATTACATTCCTCATCCGAGGAATGATGAATCAAAATTTCAGCCTATTCCAATGGGAAGGCCAGATCTTGAACCAAAGTACCAGCCACTACCAGCCCCTAGACCAGAACTAGAACCAAAGTACCAGCCGCTACCAGCCCCAAGACCAGAACTTGAACCAAAGTACCAGCCGCTACCAGCCCCAAGACCAGAGCTAGAACCAAAGTACCAGCCACTACCAGCTCCAAGACCAGAGCTAGAACCAAAGTACCAGCCTTTACCAGCACCCAGACCAGATCTAGACCCAAAATACCAACCATTACCAGCTCCTAGGCCAGATCTTGAACCAAAATATCAGCCACCACCAGCTCCTAGACCGCATTTAGAGCCAAAGTTCCAGCCTATACCAGTCTCAAGACCAGATTTAGAGCAAAAGTTTCAGCCCATACCTGCCCCGAGACCAGACTTAGAGGCAAAGTTCCAGCCCATACCAGCCCCTAGACCAGAACTAGAGCCCAAGTTCCAGCCCATACCAGCCCCTAGACCAGAACTAGACCAGTTACCCACCTACCAGCTCCTAGGCCAGAATACCACTGCACCACCTGCCGACCGACCTGATTTAGAATCTAAATATCAACCCCTTCCACCCAGACGGCCAGACCAAGAGCCTAAATATCAACCACTGCCACCAGGAAGGCCCGATCTAGAACCAAAATACCAACCGTTACCCCCTAGGCCTGATATAGAACCGAAATACCAGCCATTACCTCCTAGGCCGGATATAGAACCAAAGTACCAAATGCTACCACATGAACGGCCAGATATTGAACCAAAGTACCAGCCACTGCCACCCAAACGTCCTGACATAGAACCAAGGTACCATCAGCATATGCCACCAGGTCGACCTGACGTTGAACCAAAATACCAGCCCTTACCACAGAGACGACCAGACATAGAACCCAAATACCAGCCACTGCCTCCAAGACGACCTGATATAGAACCCAAGTACCATCCACCTCCCTTGAGACGCCCTGATATAGAGCCAAAATTTCAACCGCTTCCTCCACCGAGGCCAGACATTGAACCGAAATATCAGCCTTTACCCCCTAGGCGACCTGACATTGAGCCAAGTTTCCCTCCACAGCTTCAGAGACGACCAGATATAGAACCAAAGTATCAGCCACTACCACCAAGACGGCCTGATATAGAACCCAAATTTCAGCCTCCACCTGTATCATCAGGTCGGCCTGATCTGGAGCCAAAATATCAGCAAATGGTACCTAAAACTCATGACTATGAGTTCCAGCCTATACCTTGTGTAAAACCAAGCTACGACCCCCGTGATCCAGCCATGGCGCCGAGGAGAACAGACTATGCTTTCCACACCATCCCAACCATACGCTCTGAGAATGAGCCCAAGTTCCAGCCAATGCCAATAAGGAGACCAGAAGTAGAAAGAATACCTTTCTCTATTCCAGTTAGTGTGGACAGCAAACCTCCACTGGATTTGCCAAAACCATACAATGGTGACCCCAAATTCCACACAGGTCCACCAAGGCCTACTGAGGCTCAGCCGGGATTTCAGATGGTTCCTCCAAGGACAAGAAATGGGGAGTCTACCTACCAGACAGGTCCCCTGAAGGTGCAAGTGACAGAGCCTCACCTTAGGCAGAATGAGGCTCCTTTGTATGAAACTTTGCCAGCTAAGCTTCACACTTCTGAATTGCTAAATAGAGCTTCTTTACCTCCAAAGCCTTGTGACGTTGAAACCTATGGCCAGCCAGTTCCCCCCAAGTTCATGGTATCACATCAGACATCTCCCAAAGCAGCTGATCGTGAGCCTCTGTATCAGATGATTGCTCCCAAGGTAACAGAGCGAGAGCCTTTGTATCAAAAGATTGCACCGAAAGTAAGTGAATCTTTGTATTGTACTGCGCCCGTCAAGCCCGAAGATGATGATGGTCCACCGTACACTGTGATGTCTCCAAAAATATGTGAACCACCCCCTCCACCGTATCAGACGAAACCAAGTGATTCACGCAGTTTCTTCCCTCCGCCGTCGCCTGATCCTGCCGACGAGGCCCCTGTATACCAGGCAGTGACGCCTGAGATGATCCAAGACGTCAAATCCAATTACCGACTTCTCCAGGCTCGCAAATTAGAGAAGGAAATGTTGAAATTACAGGGTGTCCCCAAGAGGATAAAGGGAGATAAGTATCATTCTCCTACAAAAAGGACTTTCAGGGAAGGAGATTCTAAATACCAATCATTCCCCAAAAGAGCTCATAAAGGCGAGCCAAAATATCAGTCGTTACCTAAGAAGAAGGATAAAGAAGGAGAGGCGAAAAGCAAGAAGGAAAAGGAAAGTGATTCGAAGTCGAAAAAGAAAGAGAAGGAAAAGGACAGCGAGTCCAAGTACCAGGCTCTGCCGAAGAGTAAAGAGAAGGAAGGCGAGTCCAAGTACGAGACCCTTCGGAGGGAGAGGCCTATCCCTCCTCCGGTGCGGTGGAGTCCCGGCGATGATGACGGCATTTACTCCAGCCTGGAGTACCCCAGCGAGGGCCCACGGAGCGAGGGGGCGCTGAGCGACGACATCTACTCCAGCATAGAGACAACGGATGGAGATCCACTATATCAGAGCGTCGGCGAAGCAAAGTATTCTCGGCCTCAGCCGCCTCTGCCTGCCCCACTTCGGTACCGTCGGAGGGCAGACGATGCACCTCCGCCCTTGCCTCCCCCTCGCCTGACCACGGGGCCCGTAGGACCTCACAATCCTCTCATATCTCCAGGATCTATACCTCCGCCCATTATTCCAGAGCGAGGCCCTATCCTCCCAGGTGCGGGAATGAGAGCATCGTACCCAGGGACGACCAGCACCACCCCTAGTCCAGATAACCTGCTCATGGTGCAGTCGACGCCCACGTGGCCTCAAACAACCCGGGCCGAAGAGGAAGACGACGTGTACTCGTCCATCCCTTCCCTTATTAGCTCCACCCCGGACTCTCCCCCCGCCACGCTTCCTCGCACGGCACCCGTAGGACGCGTAGCCCCGTCGGCGTCCTGGAACTCTCTGGGCTCCTCCTGCAAGTCTTCCCTGGACTCCCTGCGATCCGACGGCAGCACCAACGTACGTCAACGTAGACGCCGCGCACGCTCGGACCCTCGCATGGACGCCGGGGTTCTGCATCGCCTGGCCTTCACCGTGTGGCATACTGCATTACACATCGAGAAAGAGGTCAGGAGCGGCGGCTGATCCGTCGACACCACCCTCCGTGCCCGCATGACCTGACCCTCACCCCTTGTCCTGCCTGGCGACGCCCCTCCGGTATGCGCATGCCTGACCCATGGTAGTGTAGGTGGAGTCGGTGGCGTGTTAGCCGTCTGTCCCAGGCCGGAGTGTCGGCCTCGTCGCTCTCTTCCGTGGCATCCTCTTCCGAAATGCTCTTTGTTCATTATTTTAATCCTTGTTGTTGCATACTCCCGCCCCGTTTCTTATTCAAGATTCAAACTATTTATCTTTTGCATGAGTGCAGCGCTTTTGCGATGCTAATATTTTGCATGATTGCATGTTACTCGTAGCACGGAATGCGAATTTTATATTCACCATTATCGAGAGTTGAAATATAATGGGAAATGGATGTTATACAAACTTCACTTCCATTATTAGAGCGTGTCAACAAGACAGTTTAATTAGATGTGCAAGTGTGTGTCTGTGTGTGTGTATGTGTGTGTGTGTTTGCTGGCGTGCGTGCGTGCTTGGATATGTGAACGTGTGCACATTTGCATGTCTGTTTTTTTTATTAATTGCACAAATCGGTTTGTAGATTCAACTGATTGTTCTCACCCATTTATACAAAATATGCCTATATTTTGCATCTTGTTTGGGACTTTATACGTGCGAGAGGAAATTAAGTAAAATCGTCATCATTATCATCAGTATTGTTATTGTTATTATCGTTATTGTTATCATAATCGTCATTATATTATTATCATCATTATTATCATCATCATTATCATCATTAATGTTGTTGATGTTATTACTATCATCGTCATAATCACCATCTTTACGCGATGCTATAAGCACTTCCATTTTGATTTTTTAGTCTTTTGCGATTTCTCTCCTATTTTTTTTTATTCCTGATTGGAACTTCGGTTGTTCCAAAGAAAGGAAAAGGAGGAAATTTATTGTTATAACCCTGTGTCGTGACATTTTAATTAGCTCGTCTTTTTAAAAGTTTTGGTTTATCCTTTTTCACGTCCGATTGTGAGCCGGAGAAGGAATTAGCCACGTTTGGCCATTATCCTCACCATCGTTAGTAGAATCACGTTTCCATCTTCACTATTATTCGTTTTTTTTCCTCAATTTGATTTTCATCACTTTGGCCTTCAACCTTGACCTTCAATTTCACCTTGACTTTCATTAGTGTTTTTTAATCTTCATGTATATCTTTTTCTTTCTCTTTCACTACATGTTTATCTTGATGTTTAGCTTTATGTGTATCGATATCTTTATTTCTGTCTCTATCTATTATATCCTTTTATCCATCATCGTCTTGATGAATATCAACATCTGCTTCATCGTCTTCATCTTTTTCGTTTTTTTAACTTCCTCATCTTCATCTTTATCGTTTGTTATCTTCATCTTTCTCTTCACCTTGATCTTGTACTTTATCGCCCTATCTTCTACCTTTACATCATTGCTATCTTCATCTCTATCGTCATGTTCATGTTCCTCTTCATACCCTATCCCCAGCCTTGCCTCATGGTCTCTCCTCCTGCCCTTGCTTCCCCTTCCCTCCCTCCCTTCCACCCTCATGCTCTCTCCTCATGCCCTCGCCCTTTCCCCTTCCCTCTCCTTTATCCTTTTGCTTTCTCTTTTTTTATGCTGCCACTTCGATTCCTTCCTCCACTGGCTCCTCCCTCCCCCCCTTCCGATTTCTCCCCTTATCCTACTCCCAATTTCTTATCCTATTTAGCCTTCTCCATATTCAGTCCCTTTGCTGGTTCCTCCCTTTGTCTCTCCCGCCCTCTCTCCTCTACTCTCTTCTTTATCCCCTTCCCCCTTTTCCCTCTTGTCGCTCCTCTCCCTTTTTCTCTCTCCCCTTACTTCAATACTTTGTCCCTCTCTCCCCGCTCTTTTGGCCCCCTCTTTTACTCACATCACCTTACCACCTGTCCCCTTCTCCCTCTCCCGTCTCCCTGCTCCTCTGACCCTCCCCCTCTCACCTCACCTCACTCCTCTCTCCCCTCTTCCTCTACCCTCACTTCACTCCCCTTTCCCCTCTTCCTCTAACCTCACTTCATTCCCCTCTCCCTCTCCTCTCTTCCTTTACACTCACTTCACTCCCCTCTCCCTTTACCTCCCTCCTCCCTCCCCTTCTTCCCTCCCCCAACTTCTTATCCCCGAGTCAAACCTCAGAGAAGGGCACGCGCTCAGCTTCTCTGTCCTCCTAACAGAGGGCGGTCCGGACCTGCCCTACCTCAAGACACGGTTGGTTTGCGCTCCAAATTTCCTCCACATACGTCATAATGCAAATCGCCGGAGGGTATGGTGGGGCAGGGGGGTGGGTAGGGTGGGGAAGGGGGGTGGGGAAGTGGGTAGGGAGGTTGAAGAAAGGGGGTAGGGAGGGTGAAGAAGGGGGGTAGGTAGGGTGGGGTAGAAGGATGGGTATGATGGGGTAGGGGGTGGGTACGGTGGGCCAGGGGGTGAGTAGAGAGTAGAGTAGGGGGTGAAAGGAGATGGGGAGGGCTAAGTGGCTAGGGGTGGGTGGGGGTTGAGGAGGGAGGTGAAGAGGAGGAGGGGGGGGGGCAATCTTTCTATATTCTTGCAAAACTCTCGTTGGCAGGTCCTTTTTTTTAGCGTCTTGTTTGTTCCTTGGAGCTTATCTCCTTGGCCTTGCTTTTCTCTTGCTATTTTCCCCGATTTTTTGGAGTTTGGCTTCTCGACATTATTGTTTTTTTCTTTCCTTTGGAATAATTTTTTCCTCCTCCATGTTTTTTTCGTCATCTTATTTCCATATCATCATCTTCATCATCTCCCTCTAACTCTTTCATTTCCTCTTCGTCACCCTCTCCTCTTCCTCTTCTCTCCCCTCTCCTCCCTCCACTACTCTACACCATCCCCCTCTACCTCCCCTCCCCCTTCCCCTCCCTCTCTCCGTCTCCCTCTCCCTCTCCCTCTCCCTCTCTTATCTTCCTCCTCGTCTTCCTCCTTTATCTTCTCCAGCCCGTCTTTCTTTTATCTTCCTCTTTCTTATCCTCCTCCTCTTCTTCCTCCACTTCCATTTCTTTTCTTCTTCTTTTTCTTCTTGCCTCCTCTTTTCATCCTCTTGTTTCTTTCATCTTTTTCGTATTTTTATTTTCCATTTTAAGTTATATATATATATATATATATATATATATATATATATATATATATATATATATATATATATATATATACATATACATATACATATACATATACATATAATATATATATATATAATATATATATATATATATATATATATATATATATATATATGTATATATATAATATATATATATATATATATATATATAAATATATTATATATATATATATATATATATATATATATATGTATATATATATATATATATATGTATATATATATATATATATATATATATATATATATATATATATATATATATATATATATATATACACTAACCTTAATAAGACATATTTGATTAACACATTTTCTTTTCTTTTTCCATCATTCATGTAACACATTCTTCTCCTATCACCATCTTCCCATACCCTCTATGTATCTAAACCTTCCTCCTCCCTTTAAAGATACCCCCATCTTCTCCCTTCTTCCTTCTTCCTTTCTTTTTCTTCCTCCTCCTATTATTATTATTATTATTATATTATTATCATTATCGTATTTTTATTTATTATTCCTCCTCTTCTTTTTTCTCTTCCTTGTTCTCCTCCTCTTCTTCTTCTTTCTTCTTCTTCGTCCTTTTAAATTTTTTTTCCATTCTCCCAACCCTACCCCCCCTTTCCACACCACGCATCTTTCCCTCCCCCTCCCCAGCCCCTACCTTCCCATCCCGTCTCCTCCTGTCCCCTCCCTTCTCCCACCCCCACCCCCCGCCCCCAAGAAATAATAACACTCGATATTCGCAATTCCTGAAGATTTTTCGCGAAAGCCGATAGCCGCGATCCGACACCCCGGCTTGCACGCGCGTGACCTTCGCACTTCCGGCGGCGGTCCGTGGCTTCCCGATCATCTTGAAGATCCCGAAGCCTTTTCTCTCGACGCTCTTCGTGGGGGGGGAGGGGAGGGGGGGAGGCGGAGGGGTTGTTTGTTTTTGCTAGTTGGTTGTTTTGGAGATTTTTATTTTATTTTATTTTATTTTATTTTTATTTTTTTATTTTTGATTGATTGTGGTTGGGAGAGAGACAGACGGAGGCAGATGCAGAGGCAGAAACAGAGACAGAATGAAAGAGAAAGAGAGAGGTTGAAAGAAAATGAGAGTGAAAGAGGTAGTAAAAGAGAGCGAGAGAGAGTGCGAGAGCGAGAGAGAGACGAGAGAGAGAGAGAGAGAGAGAGCGAGAGGGAGAGAGGGAGCGAGAGCGAGAGAGAGCGAGAGGAGAGGAGAGAGAGGAGAGGAGAGGAGAGCGAGAGGGAGAGCGAGAGAGGAGAGGAGAGCGAGAGAGAGAGCGAGAGCGAGAGAGAGCGAGAGCGAGAGCGAGGAGAGCGAGAGCGAGAGCGAGAGCGAGAGAGAGAGAGAGAGAGAGAGAGAGAGAGAGAGAGAGAGAGAGAGAGAGAGAGGAGAGAGAGAGAGAGAGAGAGAGAGAGAGAGAGAGAGAGAGCGTCCGTCCTGTTATTGGTTCCAGTTTCTCTTCGTAATGTCTTCATTCCCACAATAATAACGTCCTCTCTTCTCTTCCAGAATAACAATGACGCCACAGCCACCCAGAAGCACCCTACGATAAGCAGCAGAAAC